CACAGACTCATAGTGAAGAGACAAAAGTGTTTTTCTTTTTAGCTCTGCTGTTGACTTAATTGACAGATTAAAGCTGTTCATATTACTGAGTGTCTGGCTACTTCAACTTTGCATTTTTGCCTTCTTCTTGATACTTTGTGAGTGGCCCTCTCCCAGATTTGTTTATTTCATAAAGATATCTTCAAAGCTCTGAATATTTTTGTAATTTTTTGTAAAAAGTGCTGTTTTGAACTTCTTGAAAATGGCCAAAAAAAAATTTCATTTTGTGATAAGTTCAATTTTAATTATATGTATTGTACTTTATTACTATCATTTTATTGCTGTCAATCAATGGGAATTATTTCTAAGAAAACAATAAATTTATTATTATTATTGGGATGTTAGTTTGTAGTTTTCATAAAATAATAAAGATTTGATGCCATGACAACAAATTTTTATGATAAATGCCGATCACTAATTTAGATAGAACAATGTAAACTCAGATTTAATAATGTCCAAAACCAGAGTTTGCTACAGTGTGCATGAGTTGTATTGTTGATGTCTTGGTTCATACAAACATCGTTTGTTCTTTTTACCTTTATTTGTTTTTATTACAGAGAGATTGGACGTATGGATGCCAAAGATCTAGCCCGTGATAACACTGGAACCAAAGCATACACCCTGTTCTTAGTAGATGTAGCAGCCAGAGTACCAATGACAATACTACCAAATATCAGTGTTATACTGTGTCATTTGGATGAAGAGGTCAGTCACTCTTAGACTTTTCCTACATACCAGTTTTACCAACATTTTGATGACTTGATGATGATGGAAACTTTACAGATCGTAACCATTCTTCAGTCACAACTATGTACCATATTGCCACCATCAATTATGTTGCATAATGCTCCAAAAACTAATTTTTTTTATTTATATATTAACTTTGACAACAAGGTCAGTAAAAAATCACATAAAATATAATATATCAATCACAAAACTCTTAACTTAAAAAATATAGCAAAACTTCAGACAACGTGGTATTGTATTGTGTACAGTGATTAAGTAACCCAGAAATTAAAAAGCTATTTTCTAGAAGATTAATAATAAATATTACATTCAATAAATTTTATTTTAATTTCATCAGAGTTGAACATTAATATTTGTATAATATAATATTGTACATATGTTTTCAGTCATACATGATGCGTATGGGAGTCTTAGGACTTATTGCTGAGATCCTGATACATGGATTGAGTAAAGAACAACTGGATGTTAAAGAAAAGAAAGCAAGAGATCAATTCATGGATATCCTTGAGGTAGATTAAATAATATATTTTATAGTTAACTACGGGCAACCCCACTTTTTTCTGGCGCTTGATGTGAGTGTTCTTGTTGTTTTACTCTCTGTATTATTGTTCATATAATTATTACCCGATTTGAGAAATCTTATGTGTGTCTTATTTTAATTATTAATAAAAAAAATGGAACTTAAATATTTTTTAATGCAGGACCACATCCATGATGTGAATGCCTTTGTACGTAGCCGAGTTCTCCAAATATGGTTACGTATTTGTAACGCACGCGCCATTCCACTCTCTCGTCATAAAGACGTCATGAACCTGACTATCGGTAGACTAGAGGATAAATCCAGTCTGGTTAGAAAACAAGCCATTCAACTTATCAGTGTATTCTTGTCATCAAATCCGTTTGCTGCTAAGGTCAGTAGTGAAGTTTATGTTACCTGTTAGTGTCAACTTGTTCATTATTTTATGATGTATTCATTTAAGAACTAAAAAAGATGGGAACAATTACTGTCTTATCGTTATGAACATCTTTTCAAAACATGTCCACCATCTTGAAATAGAACAAAATCTTAATTTTCTAATAGAGTATTGTGTAGATATCCTGTGTAATATGACACACTGTAGCTTTGTAACTTTCTCACTGTAACAGAGATACAGTTAGAGAAATATAATAATTTCCATCATGACTGGGCTGTTTCCACCAATCAGATCGCAGTATGCCCAACATATATATTGGAATGAAAAAGTTGTCATTTGGAGTGACGTTGGAATGCATGGAACTTCACTCTATTGTTTGATTTGAATCAAAAGTCATGTTGAAATCGGAATCCACACTGAAACTAAAAATAACAGTACAAGTGGCATGATTGATAGTGAAATATACGTATGATTGTCACAAATGCACTTGACTTAATAATAGAATGACAAGTACCCTCTACAGGGTTGTGACATGACTCAGCTTACCCCTTACAACCTCAACACCATATACAGATCACTTCTTGTCATTCTATAAACTATAAGTACAGTACAGTACAAGCAAAGGTTTAGCTGGTTTAAAGCCATCTTAGCTTGCTTTCAAAGTCACCACATATCTAATGTTTGTGGACTAATCTGCCTAAATATGTCTTAAATTAGTTTAGTTTTATACAACAAATATGCTACTGATACTACTGTCACTGCCATATTCTTTTGAATACCAAAATAGCAATCTTTAGACTCGCACATTGCACCAGTCAGAAAGTTATCTGGCAGTGTTATTGTGTATGAAACACTATGGTGATGTCAGTAAGACAGTACTGCAGGTGATATATTTATTCTTACTTATTCACAGCTTCCTGTTCAAGACTTGAGAACTAAACTAGAAGAAGAGAAGAATAAGTTGAAAGAAATGATTGATGCTCAACCTGAAAATGCAATTAATTGTGAGTGTTCTTGTGTACTACTGTAGAGTATGGTTTTCATTGAGTAACCGTGTGTAGGGTGACGGTTGTCATGCACGCATGGTTTGGGTTTAACACGGGTCAAGTTGTAGATATGTAAATCTATGGCACCTATAACAATTGAAGAATATCTGCAGGAATAGTAAGACTGTGAAAAAAACCGACCAATCGATTGTTATAGAATGACAGCAGTGTACAATTTGTCAAACAAATACAATACTTGCAAAT